TTTGCAGCAACATGAACGGACCTGGAGTATATTATGCTAAGTGATATAAGTTAGACAGACAAAAACAAATATCATATGATTTGACTTATGTGGAATCTAAAAAACAAGCAAAAATGCAAATCATAAATAGACTCATGGACACAGAACACAGATGTTGCCACAGGAAGGGGGATGGGGGAAATGAGTGAAATAGGTGAAGTAGATAAAAAGGCACAAACACCCAATTATAAAATAAATTAGTCATGGAGATGAAAGTACATCATAAGGAATTAAATCATAATAATAAAGTTGCACGTTGATAGACAGTAACTACACCTATCATGGTGAGCATTTAGTAATGTATGTAATTGTCCGATCACTAGGTCATACACCTGAAACCAATATAATATTGTATATCAACTATATTTCAATTAAAACAAATGTTTAAATGGCAGAGAAAACAAACAAAAGAATAAAACAAATGAACAAACAAAATAAATAGACTTGTAAACATGGAGAACAGACAGGTGGTTGCCATAGGGGAGGGGGTGGGGGATGGATGAAACAGCTAAAAGGGATGAAGAGGGACAAAATTCCATTTATAAAATACATTAGTCATGGGGATGAAGTACAGCATAGGGCATATAGTAAAAAATAAATAAATAAAGGTACACGTGCATATAACAAAAGGTCTAGAAGTTTACCTTGAATGGTGATAATAGTTATGGTTGAGACTATGGGCCATTCTTGCTGATCAGTCCATCAGTTTCTCTGTTCACCTAGCCACCTATTCTCTTTTACTGTTTGAATTGTCTGCTGAGAGCCAGCAGTGGATACAGAAGATGCGACCTCCATAAGGCCACACTCAGGAATCCAAGCGGAGCCTATTAGAAACCGGGTAGTGAATCAGGAGCTGTGCATGCAAAGCTGTCTGCTCCACAAAGGAAAAGGGAACTTGACCCTCACGCAGTGGGGAAGGAAGTGGAGCTAGGCTGTGGACAAGCTCCTGCCTGTGGCGCGGGCCTCTGCTGAAGGGGGCCGACACCCGCTTCCCATGATGGGGCTCTGCCCGTGGAGGTAGGAAGGAAATGAGCCATCAGGTGGAAGAAAGTGGGCAATGGCCACATGGCCGCACCGTACTTCTGAAGGAGGGAGAGAAAAATCCAAAGGGCCTAATGCATTCTCAAACCAGACAACCAATCTCTACATGACTGATACTGAGCTGAACGCACACGCTTCATGATGTCAACCCTTCAAAAGTTGCCTGGCCTTAGTTTTTTAATAAGACAAACTACACTTCCACATGGTTTTGAAATCCAGCAAGTTCAGGGGAAGGACAAATACTATCACTCGACCTTCAGACAGTAACAGCAGACAGAGATTTAAGCAAATACTTTCCCACTGAAGTATTTCATAAGCCAAAAGTCCAACTGTTACTGTTGGGTGTGATATTTCTAACCTGCTTTTGAGCTTCCATGCTTTAAAAAATTACTTTTCCAGAGGTCCAAATTTGGCCAAACTGCCTTAAGTAATAACCATCAGTGTTAAAACAGATCTGTACACCATAATGCCAAGTTTTTAAAACAATTCTCGCCTCAGTGTAAATATTAAAACTAGCATGCCACTTGCTAGAACATAAACATTTAAAAATAATGGTATTTCTAGGAGGCAGTTACGGTGCTGAGTGAGGGTGTGGCGCTCACGACCCAGTGTAGTGGGCTGCGGCCTGCTCAGATCGCTGTAGCAAAACGCCACATTTCCTCACCGTTCTGGGGGCTGGAAGTCTGAGATCAAGGTGCCATAGGGCTGGTGTCTGGTGGGACTCTCCCCTCGGGGTGCAGACAGCCTCCGTCCCATGTGCTCACGTGACCGCTTCCTGGGGAACACGCTGTAGAGTGAGGGAGCGTCCAGGTGTCTCTTCTCAGAAGGACACTAATCCCATCAAATCAGAACCCTCCTCTTAGGACTTCACTTAACGTTAATTATTCCCTTACTCCCAATACAGCCACACTGGGGGCTAGGATTTCAACATATGAATGTGGAGGGAACACATATATTGAGTCCATAATATCAGGTATGCGACCTCGAGAAGTTACTAACCTCTCCAAGCCTCAGTTTCCTCATTTGTAAAGAGGGGATCATACCCAGGATCATGCCACACTGCAGTGTCGGCACACACTACGATGCTCCTTTCCTCCCATTTTCCTCTGCCCCAGCTCATTCTCCTCACCACGAAGAAGGAGGGAGCACTTCCAGGACTGGGGCAGCCCCCAGGGAGGAAGCCTGAGCTAGTGTCCCAGAGTGTCTGGGCCTACTGCACACACTGTGGTGTCCTCCCCTCGGCCCCCATCTCCTGGAACACAGTCGGCCTGACCTGCTCCTCACTTCTGTTCACAAACTAGCTCCTCCCTCTAGCCCTTTTGCACTTACTCAATCTGGACTCAAATGCAGGCTCAATATTACCCATGGAGAGGGGGGCAGAGGTGGAATTAGAAATGGTTTGGGGGCTGGCTGGTGTCATGTCCTTCATGCAGGAGGAAAATTAACATGGACTTACTATGAGTTTTACAGATGAAGGCCTGCTAGGAAAATCCCTGTTGGGGAGCAAGAAGGTCAAGGAAGGCAGGGTGGTGAAGTAATCTCCTAAACCTGAGAATCTCAGTTATTTTGTATGTTTATCATGGGAAATTGAATTTGACATCAAAATACTCTGACCCAGTAAACTCTCCCAAATGAAATGCAGACACCAAAACTGCAACCAAACTGTCATGACAGTTGGCATCTGTAGTCCGTACTCGTGGTCCACCAAGTCCCAGGAGGCTCTTCCACAAGTGTGAATACCGCCTACAAGTTCAGCCCAGAACAGAGGACAGAGCACTAGTCACAGCCCCTTCCCACCAGAAGTCTCTAGAAATGAGACAAAACATGTTTTCTGATGTATAATAACGTTGTAAAACTGGAAGGAATCTTATGAATAAGAAATCTTGAAAAATCCCTGAAATAAGGAAGGCAGTCTAATCAGATTTTAAAAGGACCCGTTCTGCGGCATGTGTGGGTGAGGACTCTTCCATGGAATTGGAGGACGGGCTGCTCCAAGGATGCTCCAAGGCTGGAGGTACCAGGGAGGGGTGGGATGGTGGGGGGCAGGGGGAGCAGCTCTGAGTGTCTGATGGGGAATTGGCTGGGGCACCAGAGTAGGAGCTCTCTCAGTCCACACTCCCTGTCCCCTGACTAGGCAGCACCAGTAGAGGTATCTGCCTCCATGTAGGAATAAGAAGCATGAGCCTGTGGAAAGAGAGCCTGGATAGTGTCCTGGGGGGCCAGCAACACCAGGAAGGAATGAGGAGTTTCTGCCCCAAGAAAGCCTCTGCTGGTTGGCACTATGCCTGGCCCGCACCCTCATCCAGGAGGTGGGCTGCAATGACGAAGACCGGCCAGCAGGGGTCCTCCAATAAATGATCCCTCTGCTAAGAACCACCAAGCAACTGTGGAAACCCAGCTCTGCAAGAAAGACATCACCCTCTTACCAAAGCAGAACTTACACCTGGGGAAATAGAGTTCATAGACTGTGCTGAATAGAATCATTGATATTCTTGGGGAGATGCAGGATTACCATGTTGCAAACATTATGAGTGATTTTTATTTTTCAAAGTTGATAATTGATAGGCTAAATAAAAGTTGATAATATATAGACTAAATATTAGGATGGGTTGCCAAAGAATAAATTTGTGAGTTGTAAAATCAAGCCAAAGGAACATCTCAGAATGTAGCTAAGATTTTTTAAAAGACAAAATAGAAGTTAAGAGATACGGAATATAAATTGGACTTCAACAGAATTAAAATTTTCTGTTCTTCAAAAGACACTGTTAGGAGAATCAAAATAGAAACCCAGATTTGGAGAAAATCTTTGCAAAGCATATATCTATTAAAAGACTTGTAGCCAGAATATTTAAAGAACTCTCAAAACCCAATGATAAGAAAAAAAAATTCAAAAATATGCAAAACATATGAACAAACACTTAGTGAAAGAAGCTATGCAGATCACAAACAAGTACCTGAAATATATTAAACATTATTCATTGTTAGAGAATGCAAATTAATGCCATAAGAAATTCTAATACAATCACATACCTATTAGAATGGCATAAAGTAAAAAGAATGACCATACCAAGTGTGGATGAGGAGGAACTGGAACTCTCATGCTGAGGAGGACAGGAATGTAAGATGGGCAAGCATTTGGAAAAGTTTAACAGTTTCTTTAAAAGCTATATACCTACCATATGATGTAGCCATTCCACTTTTTGGTATTTTTCCAAGAGAAAAGAAAACTTACATCATACAACTTTATTTGTAACAGTCCCAAGGTGGAAACAGTCTAAATGTCCATCTATCAATTAATAGATAAACAAATTCTGGCATATTCATACACTGAAATACTACCCAGTAAATAAAAGAACAAACATATAATACCACAAATGAATCTCAAAGTGATTGTGCCAAGTAGAAGCAGATAGGCAAAAAAGAATGCATATTGTATGATTCCATTTATATAAGACTCTAGGAAATGCAACTAATCTATAGTGACAGAAAGCAGATCATGGTTGTCTGGAATCAAGGGTGGGAAGGACTGAAAGGAAGAATTACAAAGGGGCATGAGGAAACTTGTGAGAATAATCAATATGCTTGCTATTTTGATCATGGTGATGGCTTTATGGGTTATAGACAATATGTCAAAACTCATCAAGTTGCATGGTTTAAATATGTATAGTTCATTATATATCAATGATACCTCAAGGCTATTATGGAAATAAATATATTATACATAAAATTTATTTGACCATGATGCTTTTTCTCAGCTCATGCATTACCCCAGTTTGCAGAAACATGGCATATGCAATGAGACAGACCTAGGACTGGTCCTGGTTCCACTCTCTTTCTTTCTGGCTGTGTGCCCTACAGTAAGTGATTTATACTTGTAGAGTCTTAGTTTCTTTGTCTGTAAAATGGAGCTGCAGTCCCGATTAAAGTGGTGAATGTCGAATGCCTGTCACATAGTGGGTTCTTAAAAACTTGAGTCCGCCAACCACCCCAGAAATCAAGCCAGTCATATTTATGGCATCCCCAGTTGCATTAACTTTGCTTTCAACTAAAGAAACCAAATTTCAATTACCTTGAGTCCAAAGGTCCAGGGGGAAAGACACTGCAATGCTTTGCACTGCCCAGCAGGCCCATCTGCTCTGCATTAGCTGGTCTCCCTCTGTTTATTATTCCTGGTGTTAAATCTCCTCCAATTCTTGTGTGAAAAGTTCGGACACACAATAACCTCTTTATCACATTTTCAAAATCTGGGCCTGTTCTGGAAAGTTTACACCTTTTCCCTATTGCCATTTTTTTCATGTGGATTTGTATGTCTGAAAAGGGCATTTGGAGCACTTTTCTGGAAACATTTATGTGAAGGCTGGATGCAGACAAATATCACCCAAGAAAGAACATGAGATGTCAGAGGGATCAGAATAGCACCACGTGGGCTCTGCTGTTCACCAGGCTCAAACTGGTGCAGAAGCCAGGGTCTGATCAACCCCCACCTCAGCCTCTCTCCTTTGGGGGTAGAAATTGAATAATACCTATAAGAGAAACAGAAATGTGCCAATATTAGGGTATAGAATAAAAAGTGCACATAACTCTGCAAAAATAAATATGACACAATGACAATATTGGTTGCCATTCATTGAGCATTATCTGTGTGCCATGCTTCACCAAGTGCTGTTTTATTCAATCCTCACAGCAAGCCCATGAATTAGATACAGAATCAGTGAGGACTCTTCCAGTCACAGTGATGGGAAATTCACCTCAAACGGACTCATATTATAAAGGAATTTTTTAATTGGGTATGTCAATTAAAAATCCAGATCCTGTAGCTCCAAAGATGTCTCCAAAGCCTGAGATTCTCTCCTTCTCCTCTCTGCTTTCTTGTTGACTTTCTTTTTGGGCTTCA